TATATATATATATAAGACACACCTAATTGTACCGGGGAAACAATCCAGCAGGGGATTGTTGACTAGCTCACAATTATCAGCCCTCAAACGGACTATGTGGCTAGGGACAAGCCGTACAACTGGGGGACTAACTCTCAGCCAGCACGTATGGACGAAGAATCAAGACCCGTACGCCTGTAAACAGTCCTACGCGCGCAGACTACCCAATTAAGGGTCTACAGCGACACCCCGTTAAGGTATGCCCTGGGTTCCGACATTTCCAAGTATCCCAATTTCCATAATCACAATCCAATTTCAGGGGAGGTACACAGGGTAGTGCTTACAGCACTCCAAACTGACATTCTAAACTCATACTTTTCCTCATCTCATAACACCCCAAAGTACCTCACACAATTTCAACAAGCCATCACTTTCCCAATAAAATACTTATATGCTTCAAGATACTTTATATGTCAAAACCCAAATAAATTGCAAATAACTTTATAACACAACATATTCAACATATGAATAATTGGATACGAAAGGATGGGTTTGCATAAAACCATTTAAATCTCCATGCATAGAAATTTCCTTATCAAACCATGCTATTTATTTGAAAACAAAATCCATTCACAAGTAGTCCCACGCTGCGTGACCCCGAGAGGGTCCTGCCTGCTCTGAAGGCGGAGTCGGATTACCTATTTCAGAATAGGAATACGATATTAAAATCCAACTTTCCGAAATAAGACTTTAAAATAAAATCCTAATTTTCCCGGGTTTCTAGTACGCACGAGGAACGAGACACTCCTAGGGTCCACCTAAGAGTTTCAAACGCTGGAAAAGTCTCGGAAGACACTCGGTCGACCGGACGGTCAAAACTCACGATCGAACGGTTAACGTAAAACATAAACTTTAAATCATTGAATCGGAACATCCGAGGCTCCGATTCACGATCCGCGAATTCCTATGCGATCCTAGGAATACCAGGAACAACATACGTGAAATTTGGGTTTGATCCAACGGTCCAAACACATCACACACGAAAATCACATAATATGTCAAATTGGTTCGAGGCCCAAACGATATCCAAATTGAGATCCGCAAACTCCTACGCGCTCGTGACAACACAAGGATCATTCTAGGATAAAGTGTGACCTCTGCCGGACTGCCCACGCGCCGCCTCACGCGCTGCCGCGCGTGGGTGGCTTGATCACTTTTCAGGTGATCGGAAAAACTTAGAATTTTGGCTCCAAACTCCTATCCTAGGTAATACACCTAATTTGGAGTCACTTTTGTTCTTGGGTAATGGCCAAAAAACGGCCGGAAGTAGCCGGAAATCCCAACTGAAAACCGGCTGAAGCTAAATTTCGAAATTTGACTTGTAATCTCTCAAAATTTCGGGAAACCTATCCAACAGGCAGCTAGAGCACGAAAAATAGATGAAATTTCATACCTCACTCGTCCAATTTGGTTGAGAAACGAAGGAGAACGAAGGTGTTGAAGTTTCTGAAAATTTCTGAAAATTTCCAGCAGCTTTGCTGCGTTTTCCGGCGTCTGAGCGGCGGCTTCCGGCGGAAGATGGCCTGGGGTTCGAAGGCGAGGTCGGCCTGGTCCTTTTGCTTCTGGTCTCGTGCGCTGCCGTGGCTTGTGGCCGGAGTTGCAGAGGGAGGAAGGGAGAGCGACGGGGTCGGGGAGAGAGAGAGGGAAATAAGAAAAAAAATCAGATTTTCTGATTTTAACAAAAATTCATTTCTGAAAATAATTCCAAATAGACCCTCGATGATTTTTCAACCATAACTTCTTCGTTTTAAAATCCGAATCGAGCCTACCGCGTGTCTACGGACTCGGCTCAGTACCACCTTTCTAAAAACACCACTTGCTGCCCCAAACTCTCTCCGGATAAAAATTGACCTTTTTGCCCCCACTTTAAAGGCAAAATTGGAAATTCTAAATTTTAATTAAATTAAAACCAATCTTAATAATATTTTGGGTCGGGATGTTACAGCAACGGTCAATATCCTTCCCTATTCCTTGATGAGGAAGCTGGATAAATCAAAGGAGGATCTCATCCCTAGCGATGTGTTCTTGAGCAGCTTCGTCGGCGATAAATCTAAGACCATTGGGGTATTGCCGTTAAGAATAACTGTGGCCGATCAGACGAGAGTCGCGGCCTTCTATGTAGTCAAATCTAGTGTAGACTACAATATACTGCTTGGCCGTGATTGGATTCATCAGTTCGGGTGCATATTGTCCTCCCTTTTCCAATTGTTGTACTTTTGGGACGGCCAGAAAGTATCCATACACCCAGCCGACGAAAGACCGTTCGAAGCCAACGCTGTACAAGCATGGATTTATGACGACGACATCGGATGGGTCGTCCTAACCGGCCACGATGCAAGCGGCCGACCAACTAGGACAACGGCCCAGAAAGTCCTGGAGTTAGGCACTGAAAATGTCCGATAGGGCTCAGCACGTGAAGTTCTGATTGACCTTACCAGCCTTTATTAAATGCCAGACAAAGCAACCAAAGAAGAAGGGGCAGCGCTCGTGACTGATTTGCTGAAAAGGCTGCTAGAACACTAGGCGGGAGAATATTTACGGCCAAACTCACCCATCAACCTAATCGAGTTCTTACACGAATCAAATGGCATCGACGTTTTGACCATCAATGAATTGGGTACGGCGCCTACTGAAATGGAGGACGATTACCCTGAGGTGCAGGACCCCCTGGTAGAAATAAATGTAGGCACAGAGGCCGAACCACGGCCTCTTTTTGTAAGCCAACTTTTAAGTTCAGAGTTAAAGGCCAAGATTATCGGCCTACTCCATGAATATAAAGATTGTTTTGCTTGGGATTATCATGAGATGCCTGGATTGCCAAGGAGTTTGGTCGAGCAAGAGCTGAAAATTAAGGAGGGGTTTAAACCTTTCCAACAACCATTCACCTGTCAAAAAGTTGTGCCTAGCGCTCTATTTCGTAGCTATCAAATTGCGTCATTACATGCCTCATTCGGTCGTTCAGATCATCTTAAAGACCAACCTCATCAAATACATGCTCACTAGGCCGATCATCCGCCACTAGTAAAAAAAACCCCTTGTGCCACCACGCAAAGCCACTTTGAGTGACGAAGCCCAAAAATTCATTGCTAAAAGTCTTTCGCGATGAAATTTTGCTCAATGAAACACAATCGTCGCCAAAAGCAACTTTGCACGACAAATCTTTGCGCAACAAAACACAATCGTTGCGCAAAGTCTTTAAAAAAATAAATAAATTTAAAAAATTAATTTAAAAAAATTTTACGACTTTGCGCGACCAATATATAGTATTTCATCGCGCAAAGTATTGCGCTACCAAGTTCATCGCACAAAGTCTTTACAAAAATAAATAAAATTTAAAAATTATTTTTTAAAATCTTTGCATTACTTTGCGCGACCAATTACTAAACTTCGTTGCACAAATTATTGCGCCACCAAGTGTGGTTCGTCACGCAAAGGCTTTACAAACATAAATAAAATAAAAAAATTATTTTTTAAAATCTTTGCCTGGCTTTGCTCGACCAATTACTAAACTTCGTTGCACAAAATGTTGCGCTACCAAGTGTGGTTCGTCGTGCAAAGTCATTACAAAAATAAATAAAATAAAATATATTTTTTTAATATCTTTGCATGACATAATCCAAATATGTCGTCGCCTAAACCAATTTATTTTTGTTTTTTATTTTGTATGCATAACACTTAAAAAAATTAAACGGTATATATATTTATTAAGTAGCTTTAAATTTATTATTTTAGTTCGGATTGGATTGTTGTTATAAAACTATATTATTATAGTTCGAATTGTGTTTTTGTTAGAAAATATATATTTTAAATTAACGATCGAATTAGTTCATTGTATTCATATAGGGTCAAGGAGTGTAGCTGTAAAAAATCATCAAAATCAGAGTTGAAATAACCGTTAAATCATGATTTTTCGTTTATAACCGTCGAAATATTTTGCCCCGTTACTTGATCTCTGAATGTTTAATTTTTCCAATTTTGGGCGTGTATGATCTCGAAGTATAAACAAACAAGTTTGACTGTTAGATCGTTGAAACTAGTTTTGTAGAATGCGTATCCCATCAAAATAATATATTCACTAACAATTAAGAGTTTATTTATACTTTAATTAAATATAAAATAAGATTTTGTGGTATTCACTAGTGTAAATATTTTAAATTGATGATCGAATGCAGTCATTGTATTCATATAGGGTCAAGGAGTGTAGTTGTAAAAAATCATCAAAATTAGAGTTGAAATAACCGTTAAAACTTGATTTTTCGTTTATAACCGTCGAAATGTTTTGTCCCGTTACTTGATCTCTGAATGTTTTTTTTTTCTCGATTTTTGGTGTATATGATCTCGAAGTATAAACAAACAAGTTTGACGGTTGGATCATTGAAACTAGTTTTGTAGATTGCGTATGCCATCAAAACAATATATTCACTAACAATTAAGAGTGTATTTATACTTTTATTAATATAACATAAGATTTTGTGGTATCAACTAGTGTAAATATTTTAAATTGACGATCGAATATAGTCATTGTATTCATATAGGGTCAAGGAGTGTAGCTGTAAAAAACCATCAAAATCAGAGTTGAAAAAACTGTTAAATCTTGATTTTTCTTTTATAACCGTCGAAATGTTTTGTCCCATTACTGGATCTCTTAATGTTTATTTTTTCCAAATTTTGGCGTATATGATCTCGAAGTATAAACAAACAAGTTTGACGGTTGGATCGTTGAGTAGTTTTAAATTTGTTTATTTTGTACGTATAACACTTAAGAAATTGAATAGTATATATATTTATTAGTAGCTTTAAATTTTTGTTAAGACTTTGCGCGACCAGTATATAGTATTTCGTCGCGCAAAGTATACTCTAAAAATTTGAGCAGATACCAAAAATGGTAATTTTTTTAAAAAAAAATTACGACTTTGTGCGACCAATACATAGTATTTCGTCGCTCAAAGTATACTCAAAACATTTGGGCGGGTACCAAAAATTGGTATTTTTTTAAATAAAAAAAAATTACGACTTTGCGCTATCAATATAATAGTATTTCGTCACGCAAAGTATACACGAAAAATTTGGGCGGGTACCAAAAATGGGTATTAAAAAAAAGAATTTACGACTTTGCGCAACCAATATATAGTATTTCGTCGCACAAAGTATACTCGAAAAATTTGGTACCAAAAATGCGACGTGGGAATATTTTGGTCGCGCAAAACTTTGAGCGGCCAAAAGTTCGTCGCGCAAAACCCTAAAAATTTGGGAGGGCACCAAAAATGGGAATTTAAAAAAAAAAAAAAAATTTAAGACTTTGCGCGACCAATATATTATTTCGTCGCGCAAAGTGATACGGTTTTTAAACCCAAAGTAACTCCTCCACCATTTTCTCAATGTCTTCTACTCTTCTTACCTCTCCTCTCTCTTTCCCTCTCCCCAAATCCTACCCTTTCTCTCACACTCACTCCTCTCACTTAATCTCTCATCTCTCTCTTCAGTATCTCTCACTCTCACTCACTCTCTTATCTCTCTTTTCATCATCTCTCACTCTCTCACTCACTCACTCACTCTTTCATCTCTCTCTCACTATCTTCTCTAATTGTCTCACACTCACTTCTCCCTCTCATTCTCACTCACTCAAAATCTTGTCAAATGGTATATTCTCTCCAAATTTTAAATTTTTTTCATTAATATGTGTTTTTAGAGTTAGTTTTGAGTTTATGCCAATTTTTTGTTATTATTTTATGTTATTTTTTTTATATTTGACAATATTTGATTTTTTGTAGGGAATTGTCGAGACTTTGACGGCTAAAGTTGAGGATTTGGATGCTATTGAAAAACATATCCTCCGCCACTACCACCACAATAGGCTTGTAGATTTTATTATTGTACTTTGTTAATTTATGTGTACATTTGAATATTATATATATTGGATAATTTGACCACTATTTTTCATATGTAATTTTATTTTGAATATGTCAATTTAAATTAAAGTAATTAAAAAAAAATAAAACCATACAATTAAATTGAATTTAAAAAGTTAAAATGTGACAAAATTAATATAATGAAATTGATATAAGAGAAACAATAAAACAAAATGTCAAAAACCTTGCGCAACAAAATATTTCGTCGCGCAAAGTTTTGCGCAACATTATGATTCGTCGCGCAAAGTATATAATATTCGTCGTGCAAAATAGATAATATTCGTCGGGAAAGTAGTTAGAATTCGTCGCGCAAAGTGGTTACTGTTCGTCGCGCAAAGTTGCTTTGAGCGACGTTAGTATTCGTCGCGCAAAGTTGTCATAGTTCGTCGCGCAAACTATCTTTGCGCGATGAATAGTAATTTTCGTCGCGCAAACTTGCGTGTGACGGGTTTTGCGCGACAGAACTTGCGCGACCAAAAGTTCGTCACACAAACTTTGCGCGACGAAATTGTACTTTGCGCAACAAACTTATTTCG